TCTTTTTGCCCTGAATTCTGTCCTTTCCAGCTTTGTTAGATGTGTCTCACAGAAGTTTACTTCTAAGAGAATTTGCTTATTTCCGATTAAGAAATGGAGCTTAATCTGGGCCCGAAGAGCCCTTAAGTAGGGTTCCTGGAGGAATGGAACCCTCAGTTAAGTGCTTGGGATTATAAGGAAGAAGGGGCTCTCGTCTGGGTCCCTGAGTATGGACTAGAGCAGCCTAGAGGCTGGGACACAAATCCAGGCCCTCTACTCACTTCTCTGGGCCTTGGAGTCCATGTCTTGGAATCAGGGCCTTCTAGGGTCCCTTTCTATGGCATCTAGGAGCCCAAGGTAGCAGGAGACAGGGAGGAAGGTGTAGGATGGCAGAAGCCATGGAAAGTTGAGGGAAAGTTTAGCACCCGCTAAGATAGAAGTTGGCCACTGTTAAGCAAGGGGCCAGAATTTTGATGCTTTCCCTTTGGAATTGAGCCAGGGCAAGGGTAGGGTGGGGAGTGCAGGTGTCTGCCCACAAGGTGTGGGCATTCATAGCAGTGCTTCCTTCAGCCAGGTTTTGCAGCTCACAGTGATTCTAGCAGCCAAATATTGTACGTGGCACCCACATCCTGAAATGTGCTGCTGGAAATTGCATAGTGTCACCTCAGCCATTCTGTTGACATATGCAGAGTAGGTATTTATGAGATCCAGCGAGTTGGATGGGAAGGGTGGATTGCAGGGAGAGGGGAACTCAGAAAGGTAGGGAGTGTCTCCAGTTCTGTCTGTTACTGTAGAATTGCAACCAACCTCTGGCTTATTGAAGGGACAGAAGATGTGCCCCCCCCTGGAGTCAGGGGTGTATGCCCTCTGGTACAGGTAATTAATGAAAAGACTTCCTCAGGTTTCAGAATTCTCATCTAAGGTTTTTTTCCAGCTCTTTCTTTCTGTGCTTTCTGTGAGAGCCAGGAATGCAGAGGAGAATAATAGTTCTGCCCCTTATTGTGGAAACTCACAGAGATAATCAAAATATGCCGAAGGCATAAGTGATTGAAAGGGCACATCACTGGGGAGTGTAGGAAGTTGGGGAAGACTTTTTGGAGAGGGTCGGTTTTGCATTAGATCTGAAAGGATTGGGTGTGGGGTGGTGAGCAGTTATTCTGGTCTGCCTGTGTCTCTTAAGACTAGGTGCTTTTGGTCGGTGTCGGCAGTTATGTGTGTCCCCTTACTTTTGTCAGCACTTTCCAGCTTACAAAGCCCTTCTATGTACATGACCTCATCTGAGCTTTCTAACAAAGGAGCTGGTATTAGACTCCATTTTATAGTTTGCCTGGGTAGAGAAGAGAATGTACTGGATTGGACTGAAGCATCGGGACCAGACATTTCTTCCTAGCCGTGTGCCCTTGGGCAAGGGATTACCCTTGCCGACTGGTACAGAGTCTCCTTAGAAGCATATCCTGAGCACTACAAACATAAGATATATAAATGGCAGATAAGATGGGTTCTAAATAAATGCCGTCACCAAGAAGTTGTTAGTCACTTGGCTATTGAGTTACAGAGCCCAAACTTGAACCTGGATTTTTCAACCCACAGATTTACACCTAGATCTTATATGTATTCAGCAATGCCACTGTGACCCATTTTTCAGTATATACTATAATATGTTCAAGATGGAGTCTGTATACCTGAGCGATGGAATCGAATGTAGAAATGGTAATATATTTTGTTTCCTTTGTCTGGTTGTGGCAAACTCTCAAACAAATGGTTCTGTACAATTAGTATTGCCTTCAGTTCCTCTGAATCTATAGAA